TGGCTTCTTGCCGGCCGCAGGCTTAATTCTGCAGGTGAGGCTTGGCGATCTACAATCCGCCATCTTGCCTTTCTCTGCACATCCTTCCTGAAGGGAGATTTATAATGATACTCGCTTAGTGAGAGGGTACCCAGCACTTTTCATCGGACGAGCTCAAAGCAGGGTAAGTATCGTGGTCATGGGGAAACTGAGGTACACAGCAGGTATGGCCCCGATCCACACAGGTATTTAGGTGCCTTCCTGCCTCTTTAGGTGCCTGAGTCCGTCATTTAGGTGCTACTGGCATTTCCAAAGCCGCTGTTCAGCTGCCGCCTAACCCAGGAGGTGCCTAAATCCCCAAGGCTCCTAAGTTTCCACCAGTTGGCATCTGCAAAGCTGCCGATGCCACTTCCCAGCGAACGAGCTGCTCTGAGCCCAGCTCAAGCCGAAGCCGAAGCCTTGGAGGCCTGAAGGATTCTCAGTTCAGGCAGGGATCCCATCACGCCGGCAGGGCCTGACCCCAGAGGCGTGTTCTGAGTCTGCCTCAGGCCCAACACCTGTCAGACCCCGCAGCAGGGGGGCTGGAAGCAGGCCGCTGGTACAAGGGGGTGCAGTACAGCACCCACACGGAGACCGCCAGTGTCCAGGGAGATGGCGGGCGGGTGGGAGGGTGTGAGAAGCAGACAGAAACAGTTCGGTTGCTAGGGCCTGGGCTGCCTCGACGACTGACCTGGCTCAGGGGCCTGTCTTCAGTAGCAGGTTTGCAGCTGAGGGAGGTTCCCATCTTTGGCCCATCAGCCTGGAACACCAGGCCAGCGGCCTGAGCCCCGCTCCTTGGCATTTCCCGCCTGGCTAGCTTTGGCAGCACCCCCCTCAGCTTGCTGGCTTCTGAGGATCCTTGTCGGAGGAGCCTCACTCGCCCCGTGCGTTGTACAGAGAGCCTGGGAGCCTAGCTTGGGGCTGAGAAAGCCGCAGGCCACCGAGAGCCACGCCTACGTACCTTGGAGGATCTGGGCCGGTGACTTGAGAAAAGCCACATAGTAATAGAATAATACTTACCTAGTAGGTAGCATCCTTCGTCCATACAGCTCCAAGCGCTTTACAAGAGAAAGTCAGCAGCAGCATTGTACAACAGGGGAAACTGAGGCAGAGAGGCACAGTGACTTGCCTGTGGTAACTCTTCAGGCCAAGAGAACGTAGGTTTCCTGACTCTATCCCCTGGACCACGCTGCCTCCTTTGCGGGCCTGTGGCAGAGGTGGGAATAGCTTCCCTCACGTCTAGTAGTTCTGGGCTTACGCTGCTGAACTGGAATCCAGTTTCCGGGAGCTTGGTTGTGGGTTTTGGCCCTGCTCCAGGCTCTAGCCCTGTCATCCTGCCCTAATTATGTTGAACATTTTTAGAGGGGGAGGAAAGTCTCTCAAGAATTTTGCTGGAAGGGAGGAAATTCTAGACACGTTTGGGGGGAAGCGGGATCTTCGGAGCCTGAATCTGCCCTCGGTGCCTGTCATGCACATCAGCGGGGTTACGCTGGGGTAAGCGAGATCAGGATCGGGCTCCGTGCCTTTGAGTAGAGCTGGTGTTTTCCTCAGCCTGAGCTGCTGTTTGTTAGTACATGAAAGAGCTCAGAGATCTGCTCATCGGCAGAGATTTCTCTCGCCCTTTACTGGTTCTAGTGGAAGGGGGCAAAAGGTTCCCGCTGAAAGAGAGCCAAACCGGTGCTTAGGAAGGGAACATTTAAGCTGCTGATCAGCCGGTTTAAACGGAGATCCCCGCGCCGAGGCCCCCGGGAAGTGCGAAAGCAAATGTTTTACCCAGCCGGCTGTGTAACCGGGTTCTTCTCTTCCTGCTCAGACGTCGACGAGTGTGCGGAGAGCCTCAGCAGATGCGGCCACCGCTCCGTGTGCATCAACTCTCCGGGCAGCTACAGGTGCGAGTGCCCCAGTGGGTACCAGCTGGCAGTCGACAGGCCTGTGTGTGTGCGTAAGTGTCACGCCCCTTTGTGAGTCTCCCTCCACCCCCACTGTACGTTCCCTACCTGCTACAGCGCGTGCCAAAGGCTTCTTTCCCGGGTCCCTGCTCCCACTGGAGTCGGAGGGAGCTTTGCCATCGCCTGGCAACTAATCAAGAGTTGGCCCCAAGCACTGGCCGGGGCACGTTCCAGGAGGGCCTAGTCGTGCCGCCCGTATTCACCCTGCTCGGCGCTGCCCTCCCGGGAGCTGCCCCGTTGATTGCCAGGGGACCGCCCGTGTGTAAGGGTGGTGGAGGGAGGCCTGGCTCCTCAGCGGCACCAGTGCTGCGCTCGACACGCCTCAGGCCATCCCCACCGCGCTAGTCCGGGCGCTGGCCTGCACACCAAACCCTCTCCCCTGAGCTCGGTGGTGCGGGAGCGCTCGGGGGCAGCTTTCACTCAGGTCGCTCACCCGAGTGCTGCTAGTCCTCTGTCGCCGTCCCACAACGTCCCCCGGAAGGACAGACACATTCTCCCGCAGCTCAGCTCCCTGCACGCCGCGGGGGGCGCCCCCCAGAAGCCCGACTGACATGCATGGGGGAGCGCCGCGCCAGTGAGGACCCAGTGACGCAGGCCGGGCTTTGCAGGCTGGCTGCTCACACCTGGGCAAGGCTGACTTGGAGCTCGGACCCGGGTGCAAATCACCGGGCTAACCCTGCAGTGAAGATGGGCCCTGGGAGGTGGAACAGGCAAAGGTGGCCTTCCACCATCTTTCAGTGCAGGCCATCAGCACAAGTTAAAGCAGCCCGAGGGCTGTAGTGGCTTGTAATGCCCCCCGACCCCCCCCCCCGAGGGCTGTAAAGCCAGTGGGCATCACCAGAGCGCAGCGCACTCTGGCCAGGCCCCCATCCCAGCCCTGCCAGGCCCTTGTGTGCTGTGGGAGTGGAAGCATAGAGATGGCGATGCTGTGCCAGGGCCTTACCCATTTGCCGTGTGACGGTGGGATGGAGGGGGCTGGCTGGCTGCTGGTCATTTATGTGACCATGGAAAACCCGCTCCCGCAGGGGAAGACACTTTCCTTGTAGGGAGCTGTTGTCGGGCCTATTCCTTTGAATGGCAGATGGGCCAGGGCTGGGCCTCTCTCGCTGCTGTGCCCAATGCTCTGATGAGCCCGCCTACAATGGCGTGTAGCCGATCTGCCACTGCCAGCAGCAAATATCTCCAACGACACTAGACGGGGAGGGCTCCGAGTGACTACAGAGAAATCTTTCCTGGGTGTCTGGCTGGGGGGTCTCGCCCACAGGCTCAGGGTCTAACTCAGGGGAGGGCAAACTATGGCCCACAGGCCGGATCCGGCCCATCAGGGCTTTCAATCTGGCCTGCGGGGTTGCCAGCCCCGTGGCGCAGAAGGGCTAAGGCAGGCTCCCTGCCTGTCCTAGTCCCGCACCGTTCCCGGAAGCGGCCAGCACCACATCCCTGCAGCCCCTGGGGCACAGGGCTCCGTGCGCTGCCCTCGCCTGCAGGCACTGCCCCCCGCAGCTCCCATTGGCTGGGAACGGGGAACCGCGGCCAATGGGAGCTTGGGGATGGTATCTGCAGGCAAGGGCCATGCGCGGAGGAGCCGCCTGCCCCACCCCACCCCCACAAGCCACTGTCGGACATGCTGGCTGCTTCTGGGAGTGGCGTGGGGCCAGGGCAGGCAGGGGGCCTGCCTTAGCCCTGTTGCGCGCTGTTGCCAGCCCGGAGCCGCTTGAGGTAAGTGGCACCGAGCCAGAGCCCACACCCCCAACCCCTTGTGCACCCTGCCCCCCAGCCCCCTGCCCTGAGCCCCCCAACCTCTTGCCCTGAGCCCCCTCCCGCACTCCGCACCCCTCCTGCACCGCAACCGTCTGCCCCAGCAGTACATTCATGGCCCTGCATGCAATTTCCCCACCCAGATGAGGCCCTCGGGGTTTGCCCACCCCTGTGGTCGCCAGATTTGGGGTCAGGAAGGAATTTCCCCCAGGTCAGATTGGCAGAGACCCTGGGGATTTTCGCTTCCCTCTGCAGCGTGGGGCACGAGTCACTTGCAGGTTTAAACTAGTGTAAACGGTGGATTCTCTGTATCTTGAAGTCTTTAAACCATGATTTGAGCCAGGGGCTAGGGGTCTGTTCCAGGAGTGGGTGAGGTTCCGTGGCCTGCAACCTGCAGGAGGGCAGACTAGATGATCACGATGGCCCCTTCTGGCCTTAAAGTTTAGGAGTTGGAGAGAGCAGCTCCAGGCCACTCACAATCCTCGTGTCATGTCGTTCCCTTTCCAGCAATCCCCCCACCGTCCAACCCCTGCGAAGACGGCAGCCACACCTGTGCTTCGGCAGACCGCGCCCGCTGCGTTCACCATGGAGGTGGCTCGTTCAGCTGCGTGTGCCTCGCGGGTTATACGGGCAACGGGCATAATTGCTCTGGTATGTACACTCAGACTGGCCTGGCTGGGTTCCCCACCTCCCTGTCTCCCTCTGGAGTGCTTCCCTGGCAGGACCCCGTTCTCTGCTTGGACCGCTGGGAGGAGATGCCAGTTTGGGTTGGTGATGACACACTGCAAAATCCGGATCTGGACTCAATGTTCAGGGGGTGTTGGCATGGCCCCGTTCCAAAGAGAAAGGCCATTTGCAAAATTCAGCCGCATCTCTGGGTTCAGATTTTGAACCCCCCTAGAGGCCGGGGTCCTTTGGAGCTGAGGGGCTGTTCTGGGCCCATCTCTACATTGACTTAACCCCATGTTAGCCTGAAGTCCCCAGGCATGTCCTGGCTCTTCTTGGGCTACAGAACGTACCGCCTGGGCAGGAGGAGGCAGGGTTACTGCGAGCCTTATGCCTGCTGGATTTTCCTGGCCCAGGACTATGCCCATTGATGCCAGCGGGCATTGGGCCAGTGTCTTCAGCAGGTGCAGGACTGGATTCTCCTCTAGCCTCAGGACTGGGTTGTGACTTCAGACCCAGAATCCTCTTCTGCCTCTTCATTGCCCCCTGGGGAGAGGCGTGGGGGTGGGGTAGCGATTGGCTGCTGGCTTGGACCAGGAGTAAATTATGGCAACCCCTCCCCTCCCCCTCCCCCCATGCCGACTCCGCTGTGCTGGCCCGTCAGTGGGGGGGATGAGCCAAGGCCCAGCCCACTCCCCGTCCCCCTGCTCCAGGGATGGAGCAAATGGGCGCTTAGTCCAGTCTCTTCCTGTGCCCGAGGGCTGGAGAGCCAGCGTAAGGAGGGATGCATGGTCCAGGGTCTGAACTCATGCATTCCTCTCCACGAGCCCCTGCAGAACATGGCCCGAGAGTCTGGTACGCCTGGCTCAGCATGGGCTGCCGTGACGTGCATCACCACAGCCAGCCGTCGAGGTGATCGGTTTCTGCGGCATGGAGGGTTTGCAACCTGTTGAGCGAGTCCACCCCTCGAGGCTCTGGTGATGCTCCAGCCGGGGCCGTGGACAGCCAAACCGCTCCCTGCCGAAGAGGGCAAGCAGCCTCTTGGCAGAGGCCCAGAACTCCCTTTTTGGAGGGGGGTCTTCTCCTCCCCTCCCCCTAGGCGCTGTCCTGCTCCACATCTGAATTTACAATGCCGAATACGTTCACTGCCTTGCTGCAGCTGGTGGCGCTGCTGGGGCAGCGAGAGCAGCGCCGACGGGTGTGCCGTGGGCTAGCCGTAATGGATGGGCAGAGTGACCTCGTGTGGGAATCCAAACGCTCACACGTGCGTTGCACTTCCCGTCCCGGGGTACTGCTCTAACACGACTAGCACAAAGGAGGCCCTAGGCCGTAGCTAGATTCCTAGACGCCGTGGAAACCGATGGACCGGACCGCTGGCCTGATTTTGTGCTGGGGACAATCAACAGCAACAGCGTTGGTCAATTTCAATAGGTTCTTAAGAGCGGGTTGCTCTCTGTGGGGTCAAGGGAGTCAGTCCCCCCCCCCTCCCTCCACACTACCTGGAGCTTGGGTCTGGGGATAAGCAGGAGTGCCCCTCGCTCGCTGCCTCCCCCGAGTGGGGGAGTGGGAAACCGACTGAGCCCGGGCTCTGCCACGGCACCCCTGAGCCTGCCCCTGGGGTGGGGTGGGGGTGGGTTAGACCAGCTGTGAACTACTACCTTGTGGGATACTCCTGGTAGGGGGCGGAAGTGTGTGTGTGGTGGGGTGGGGGGGACGACACAGCTATGTATCACTATAGGCTGGGTGGCGGGAATCTAGCCATCACCACTATTATTATTATTATTTATGTTGCAGTAACAACTAGCAGTCTCCACTGAGATCTGGGCCCCCCTGTGCCCGGAGCTGTACAGCCCCCTAGTGAGCGACCGCCGCTGTTCCAAATGGCTCGGTCGTGCGTTTCCGTACGTGTTAGCACAAGGGTGGGCGTCAGGGTGGAGCTTTATTATGTAGCAGAATTTCTGTTCCCACCAACATAACTGCCCAGAAGTGTCTTGCCATGAAGCAGGCCATGAGGGTCAGTTCTTTATCTCCACCCTTCCCGCTCCAGCCCCCGCCAAGCAAACCGGCCTCACCCAAGTTGCTAGATGGGCTTGGACACACGCTTCTGGCCTGATCTTTGCACAGCGCAGCAGTCGCGTGGGATGGCGTTGGGAGCACAATTTCATCGCCGCCTGTAACGTTTTGCTGCCTCGTGGAAGGGAGCGATGGTGCACGGTGCAGCCCAGACCCGGCCCAGATCTTGGCCCTGAGCGCAGGAAACACGTGCTGTGGTGCGCTCGCCCTTCTGGAGCCCCGCCATGGCACTGCGACTGAGCAGAGAAGGGCGGGGGCCAGAACCTGGGTGGTTACTCTGCTGCTCCGAGGGTTCCAGGCCCTGCAGGAGGGGGGCACTCCAGAGCGGTGGGTGAGGAGTGGGTGAGGGTGAGGAGGCCTGGGAGGATTGTGATGATTGGAGGCTGTAGGCAGTTCTTAGTGGGACCCACTGGCTACTAGAGCTGATAGGTCCTAGTGCCTGGAGCACTTTCCTCGCCGGCCTCTCAGTCTGGCCCAGCGTGCGCCAGCAACCCCACGCGGGTGAGAGCTGCAGCGACCCCAGTGCGTTCCGTGAGAGAGACTGGAGGGAAAGGGATTCGGGCCCTGCTGTTGATGTGTATCCTGAATCCCCTGGGCTAGGGGAAGGGGGCACTCTGCGTGCAGGAGCTGGTGCTGTGGCGTAGGGGCCAGCCCTGAGTCATCTGGACGAGCGGTGCCAGGCGAGGCTGGTTCTGTCCCCTCAGTGCCCTGTGCTCCAGCCTGCCACGGTGGTGGGTGACCGAAAAGCAGAGTGTGGTAGTGAGGACTCAGGCCCCACGCTCCGTGGCAGCCAGATTCCGGGCGCTGGCCACGCTTATTGTAAGGATTTGATCAGGCTGGGTGGCTGCACTGACCATCCCTGGCTCCGGCTGGCTGCTTTCGCCTTCTCACAGAAGTTCAGTGCAGCCCGCGGGTGCTGTGCCGTAGCTACGCTGAGCCTCTAGCACCTTGGAGCAAGAGCCAGCTTGGCTTCTCGCCACCACTGAGAATCTCTCCTTTGCTTTCATCCTCCCGCAGTGGCCGAGCACAGAGTGAGCCCTGTGGCCACAGCGGCCAAGTGGTTTCCCAGCCTGGCGGCCCGCCCGCAGGCAGGTTAGAATCAGAATCATAGGAGATTAGGGTTGGAAGGGACCTCAGGAGGTCATCTAGTCCAAGCCCCTGCTCTCAACTAAATCATCCCAGCCAGGGCTTTGTCAAGCCGGGCCTTAAAAACCTCTAAGGATGGAGAGTCCACCATCTCCCTAGGTAACCCATTCCAGTGCTTCACCACCCTCCTAGTGAAATAGTGTTTCCTAATATCCAACCTAGACCTCTCCCACTGCAACTTGAGACCATTGCTCCTTGTTCTGTCATCTGCCACCACTGAGAACAGCCGAGCTCCATCCTCTTTGGACCCCCCTTTCAGGTAGTTGAAGGCTGCTATCAAATCCCCCCTCATTCTTCTCTTCTGCAGACTAAATAATCCCAGTTCCCTCAGCCTCTCCTCGTAAGTCATGTGCCTCAAGCCCCTGATCATTTTCGTTGTCCTCCGCTGGACTCTCTCCAATGTGTGCACATCCCTTCTGTAGTGTGGGGCCCAAAACACGTTCGCACTCTGGCGACTGCGCCTGGGTAACGAACATGTTCCTCTCCCTTCCGCAGATGTGGATGAATGCGCCGAAGGCAGATGTCACCAAGCCGCCGCGTGCTACAACACGCCCGGCTCCTTTTCGTGCCGCTGTAAACCAGGCTACCAAGGGGATGGCTTCCACTGCACACCTGGTAAGGGATCACGGGCTGAAGGCCTGATGCAGTGTGAACGTCAGGACTGGCCCATGCTTCTGCTGCCCATCATGTAAACGCTGCTAGCGTGGGAGGTGTGTGACTGCTCCACCGGGGGGAGGCTGTGTGCGCCCGGACTGTGGCGCCGCCCCGAGGCCCGTCCCCATTCAGCCTCCTCCCCCCAAAGCCCCACCCACACTCCGTCACCCCGTCCGCCACTCCTGCCTCTTCACCCCCTCTCCTGGCCTTCCCGGCTGCTCACCGCTCGCACGTGCCTCTTCACCCCATCCCGTGAGGCCCCCATGTGGGCAGAGCCTCAGCGGAAGAGGACGATTGGGGGCGGGGCCACGGCCAGAGTGCCCACTCTTTTGGTGGCAGCACACTCCGAAGGCCACGGGCCGGCTGTTTGGAGAGGCTCCGCCTCCCCCGCCCCTTATC